AGGGCAGGGGTGGGAACCTGGTTAAAGGTAAGTTATGGCCAGTGGACTGGGGCAGGCTGGCCTCAGGGGCGAGTGGATCTTGGGGAAGCCTGGGGCTGGGCAGGGAGCAGAGGCTCCATTTCCTGTGCCCTCACCCCCAACACACACAGATCCTCACCCGTGATCTTGTCCAGCATCAGGTGCAGGCGGCAGCCAAAGGCAGCGTAGAAACCCACGGTCACAGGCACAGGCACGTGGCAGAGGGTCTTGGCCAGGCAGCTGCAGTAGACATCATCCTCTGTCAGGATATCTGGGGGCCAGGGTTGGGGAGGGGGCAGAGGTGGAGAAACAGTCAGTGAGGCTGGCCGGGCACCCCCTCCTCCCATCCGCCTGCCCCTCCAGAGCACCGCTCTCAGCCCCTCCCTGCACCAGCACCCCAGTCCCAGAGAAGACAGTGAAACCTCAGGTGGAGGCTTCTGTGGCCGAAGGCAGCCCCTTCCTCCAGGGCCAATGTGCCCCCCTGGCCGCCCAGGATGAGCTGACCCTGAATTCGCCAGCCGAAGGCCGGGAGGCCGACTCCCCTGGCCCAGCCCGGGGATCTGTGCTAATTGGCCACCCTGGCCCTCGGCCACCGGTCCATGGCTCCCCTGGGAAAATCCCACGGTCTTTTCCTGGGACTCTAGGCCCTTGGATGCTGAAGACATCGCTTCCCATGCTCGAGCGTCCACTCCTGCCTGCCCTGCTAGCCTGGCTTCAGTGTGGACGGGGTCCCTGTGACCATAGGCTCCTCTCAGTTCCCTGTCCAGCCTGGCCCTGACCTCCTCCCTCTCCATGACCCCATGCCCACAGTCACTCATCCTGCCCTGAGCCCGGGCAGACCTGCCGTCTGGTTCAGGCCCCGTCACCTTTCTCTGGGTGACCCGAGCGGTGGTGCCTCTGGGAGTGGGTGGCAGAGACACTGGGGGCCTGGGAACCAAAGGATCTGGCCAGGGACAGGCCCTCAGCCACTGCCGTGGTCTGGAATGGCCGCTAAGGGTGCACTTGGGGTTAAGGCCTGACACCCTACGAAAGCCCCTGGGGTTGGGGCGCCAGAAAGGCAGGGCGCAGTCGCGGTGGAGGGAGTCGCAAGGCCGGCCTTTCGGAGAGGCCTCTCCTCATTCATCCTCTACTTGTCCGTGTGGGAACCGGGCTCCCGCGATAAGGGTGTTCCTGACCTGCAGCCCCGGTCCCTGCTCAGCTGTTGCTCTATTTTCTAACCAGAACTGGAAACCAGCTTCATGACCCCACCTGTCTCCCAGGTTAGGCCACCACACCTCTGGTCTGACTCCGGCATCCGCCCTCGCCTCCCACAGGTCACTCTCCTGTTGGACCCGAATCACTCCCGTCCCATCCACCCACCAGCCCTCTGCCCTCTCCCTGCGCTGCAGCCACACTGGCCTCCCTGCTGCCCCCCAGTGGGCCTTTGCGGATCCTGCCCCACTTACTCAAGAGAACTGCCCATCTGCGCTCAGCTGCCGCCTTAATGACACTGTTTAAACCCTGATGCTCCCGCTGTGTTCTTCTGCAGGCTGGTGATGGGCTTCTAAACTTTCCTATTTCTCATTTCCTGCACCCGCCCGCCCCCCTCTGCCCCATAGACTGTGAGCTCCAGGAGGGCGTCCGTCTGTCTGCCCTGCTCTGCCCCCCAGAACAGAGCCTCACACCCGCTGCAGGCGTTTAATACCTGGTCAGCGAATGAGTGAATGAATGAATGAATGAATGAATGGATCCCTCCCATCGCTGCACTGCTCTCTCCATCCCCAGCCCACTCCCTACCTCTTGCTGCAGCTGCTCATGGACCACCTCCCACAACCAGAGCTGGCCAGCCAGCTGGTGCTCACCGCCCTGCCACACATCCTCTGTGGCCTGCTGGGCCAGGGGAGGGAGGGCCAGTGAGACAGAAAGCAGAGCGAGGGAGTCAGTGAGGGAGTCAGCCCAGGCCCCTGGCCAGCCCGGGATGGAGGCACCGTGGACAGGCCCTGCCTGGAAGCTTTGGATCCCAACAGATGAAGCAGAATGGCCGCCCGAGGCCCAGGGTCAGGGACAAGCACCCTCTCAGACAGGGGCCAGAGGGAGGGATAAGGGCAGGCTCCAGGCCCAGGCAGGAAGCGAGGTGGCAGGGACAGAGCCCAGGGAGGCTGGGTGAGCACCGGAGCTGCAGGACCCGGCGTCAGTGGGCCTGTGGATGCTGGTTGCGGAGGGCAGGGCTGGGCCTCTGCTGGCCATGGTGGGTGCTGTGGTGGGTGCAGGGGGCAGCTGGGGGGCGCAGGCCGGTCCCTTGGGGGCAGTGGTGGCTGTAGGTGGTCCCTTCTGGGCACCAGGAACAGGGCAGAGATGCTGCCGCAGGGGGCTAGAAGGTGCGGGGTGGGGCTGCCTCTGCTGCTGCAGGATAGGGGGCTGGGGGCCCCAGCGACAGCCCCCGACACACCCCTGGTGGCTGTGGTAGGCGACCTGCCACCACACCTGGGGGGACAGCTGATAGGGCCTGTGGGCTGGCAGGGCCGCTGGGTCATGGCACCACTGCTGGCAGCATCCTGGAAGGAAGGAAGTGGGGGTGACTGGGCCTGGGTCCCTGACTCCTGGGGCCACTGGCAGGAACCAGGTCGGGTTTCAGATGGAGCCTGGGGCTGACTCTCAGCTATGAGTGTGGGCTGTGCCCCAACATGAGTCGGGGGAGTGGTGCAGGGCCTGGGCAGTAACTGGGCCAGGGGCTGGAGAGGGGATGACCCAGAGTCCCTGCCACCCCAAACTGCTTGGTCCCTGGGGGTCCCCCAGTGGGTGACAGAGGAATCCATGGGGAACTGGCCTGGCTGGTCCAGAGGAGGCCAGGTGATGGGAGGTGGCCATGGAAAGGGGACAGGGCAGGGATGGGGTGGAGGGGTTGGCCTCCATCCAGGCTCCAGCCTAGGCTGGTGGGAAGGGGCAGCCCG